TTTGTAAACATTCCCTCCCGCCTCGGCCAGAGCCCGCCCCCCCAAGGCGGGCGCGGGAAAGAGAAAGCGCTTGATTGACAGCGGAGACAGCCAATGGCGCGAGGGAGCGGCGGCGGCGCCCCGCCCGGGGCGCGGGGCCCGTTCCACGGGCGGTGGGGCCGGCTCCTCGCCCGCGCCCAGCGCGGGACGCGGCAACGGGCGGCAGCGGGACGGGGCGGACGGGGGAACCCGGGGGGAGGAGGGCGAGGGGCCGCCCCGCGGGCCGCGAGCGGCGCCGCTCGCTGCCCTGCCGCCGGGGCCGTCGGGGCGCCGTGCCCGTCCTCGGGGCGGAGAGGGCAGCGGGCGCGCGCGGGAGGAGGCGCCTTCCCCACGCGCCGCGTGTCGTGTGGCCTGGCCGCGGCGCTGGGGGTGCCCGGCCTGGCTTCTTCCCGCGAGGATAAAACCGCCTCTGTCGTAGCGGAGAGGTCAGCAGGCGCGGGGGGTGGCCGGGGGCCCTGTGGCCGGGCGGCTCTGCCCCGTCCGCCCTGAGGCGAAACGGGAGAAGCCGCGGCCTCCGCGCGCAGCCTCACCCGGGCCGGGCTTCCGCAGGCCCCGCTTATGTGTTCTGACAGCGACGCTTTTATTCACTTCTAAGGAAAAAAACCGTGGTGTTCAGAAACATATTAGGCCTGTCTGTGACACCGGAGCCTCTCGTGCCTCGGAGCAGTCTGCTTCCTCCAAAGCTCGCTCCCCTTTCCCACTGATCCCGGGACTGATCCCAGATCACACAAACTGCTTTTCCTCCCATTTCTTATTTACAGTAATTCACAGCCCCTTCTCCCGAATGCTGCTGGTTCCTATTCGCATTTCTCTCCTTAGAGACAAGGTGCTAATTTTGTAATGCTACATCTAATAGCTGTGTGCAGTCATAGCATTCGATTCTGGTACAACACCTGTGGAGTAAAATATCTAATGTTAATGTGTTATTCATAGTCCAGTATCACATATATAAAGTGTGGATTTGAACATGTATATGATACATATGTTCATACTTAATGTGTTTTTACTTAAATATACACACTTTGCTAGTTTCCTTGAGAAATAACTGATGTGAGCTTCTTAAAGTTGATAGCTTTCCACGACAGTATTGTTTCAGTGCCAAGTCTTGTTTTTCATTTTTTAATTTCATTTTTTTTTTCAGAATTATATAATGTAAGGGTTTCTTAGTATTCCGGGCTAGGCAGAGATAAGGCTGCAGATAGGCTGGTCAGGTGCCTCCCTGTCGCACACGGTAGGCACATAACTTCGCTGGGAGTGTCCATCTGATTACTGCCTTCTGACCCTATGTTATCAGGACTGTTGGTATAGAAAATTCCATCACAGATGATGTTTCCAAAATGAAAAAAAACAAAAAAAAAACTTGAATTTGGAATGCTCGCTATTGCAGAGACAGTAAATCTTACACCAGCATAATATTTTATTGAATTATTTCAGAATTTCAGAATATTTCAGAATATTTAAGGTTGGAAGGGACCTCTACAGATCATCTAGTCCAACCTTCCTGCTCAAGCAGGCACACCTACAGCATGTGGCACAGGGTGGCATCCAGGCGGGTTTTGAAGACCTCCAGAGTAGGAGACTCCACAACCTCCCTGGGCAGCCTGTTCCACTGCTCTGTCACCCTCACAGTAAAGAAGTTGCTCCTCACCTGGAGACGGAACTTCTTGTGTTTCAGCTTGTGGCCATTACCCCTCGTCCTATCGCTGGCCACCAGTGAGAACAGCCTGTCCCCTTCCTCCCTGCATTCTCCCTTCCTGAACTTATACATATGATGGTACAATATAATGAGACTATAAAATGAGATGATTAAGTTAGTTCTTCAATTACATTTTTGTATCTGTGTAACCTTTGTACAGTGGGAGTGTCAACTTTATTTCTTCTCTCTACCAGGAATAACAGCAGTTCCTGATTATTCTTTGACCTAATTGTTATATCTTAAAAGTCTGATGCAAAATGTCATCCAGTGGCTCCAGCCTGCGCTTCGGACTAAAAGTCCCAGACAGCCTCAGAAGAAAAGAAAACGAAACTCAGCTTCACTCCCTCCCTTACTAGAACTTAGTACTAGTAGAGCTGGCAGTGAATCTGGCAGCTGCAAATAGCCTAAGGTCTTGATTTCAGATGTTCGTAGTTGGCAGACTTTATCTGCTTGTTTGCCTCAGGCCGATTCCTTTTTTTTTTCTCCTTTTAAGTTTCAGCTAAAATGATTTAACAACTTCAAAGTATGAGGAGGTAATCCTTAAAAAAAAATTAAAGAAAAAAAAAAGATTAGTGGTCCGTTGTGGTAGTTCCTGAATATGCATATGAAAATAATAATCTTATATTTTGACATACATTAAGACAAAAGAGCTGCGCTTTTGCAGTTCTAAATCTCCTGTCCATATTCCATGAATACCAGACCATGCTCGTCTTTCCATTTCAACTGAGCTTTCAGGAACACCAGAGGATTAAACTCACCTCTGTGTACACTTGATCTGAGAGTGAATCTACCTCTAGTAGAATAATGCAGACACAGAGAGTTCCATCACCTTTATGCTTGAAGTAATATATCATTGCTTTGAATTTGAATGTTGTAATTCCAAAATTACACAGTATTGTCAGCCATAAGGGTGGATAGGTAGCAATTTACATGCAGATGGAAACGTATAGTGTCAGTAAATAAATCAGAACTCATTCTCCGGATTTCAGGGCAAGTGGCATGGCATGTGCATGGCTACATTCTTTCCCCTTCACAGCACCGTGGCCTTTTCTGTACTGCTTAATGGGTTTAGACAAACTGCAAATAGTTCCTGGCTCATGTGAGTGCCAGGGCATTGTCTGGGAGAGTCCTAGTCCAGGGACAGAACTGTACCGGAGAGCGTGCCAGCAGCCAGACGTATGGATAAGCCTGTGCCAGCACTCAGGCTCTGCCCGTGACCCATCTAGCTTACTGACATGGATGTTGTCCGAGGCAGCTGAGGGAGGAACTTTGGCTAGAGTCTGCAGATAAAACCAGGACTTTAAAGCTCATGCAAAATCAGTGATGGACTGTAGACACATAGGAAGAAAAGACTAAGTTTATCGGTTGGAGAAATGCAGCCATCTTTGCTATATAAACTGTGCTCTTGAACACGCAGTGCTGAGTGCAATCTGACTGACAGAAAATGTCATTTGCACTTTAAATAGATATTATATGTGTGCTGAAATAACACTATTTAGCATGATCGTGCATTCAGTAAATTACCTCTGCAACGTTAAAAGGAAAAGAAATAGTTGGTATAAAAACAATAAAAACCTTACGGGGTGATGCAGAGCTACTCTCTGTAGTGTAGATGTAATATTTTTTTGAAATGTGTGGGACCTGACAGGTCAATCAACCAACCAAGTTCAACCAAGTTCAGTGTTGAGGCTAAGTGTGTGATGCAGGGTTGGGAACATGGAGTAACACAATTCTAAACATAGGATGTCCCTTTTCTGCCCCATAACATGGCTAGTTAAAAGTGTGTATTTTTATTTGTCATTCCTAATTGTGGAGAGATTAAAAAAAAAAAAAAGTTGTGCAAAATATCCACATAGAAAGATGTTATTAAACTTTGTCTAAGAAAAAGTGTCACAACATTCTGGTTTTGCTTCTAAAAGTAGTAGTGTGCCAAGCTAGTTTGAGGGCTGGGGTGAAATGCTCAGAGTGAAAATTTCTGAGAGGAAATGAGAGAACAAGAGAAAGAAGAAAATGAGTCCTGTTGCTGCAGTCTTCCAGGATGCTACTGAGATACTTGGTTTATTTTGTTTCTAATGGGGAGCTGCATATTGTGTTTCTATGGAGCTGAATTGGAGGCATCAAGTATTTTCTTATGGTCATTGAATTCTTTGCAAAATAAGTGTAATTTTCAAAGTAGAAATGTTGAAAAACAGATGTTACAAATTGTTCCCCTTAATAGCGCCACTGAAAACGTAAGCACAGTAAGGGCAAAAAAAAAAAAAAAACCGAAAAAAACTAAGAAATACATTTAGGGAGGGACTCTCCATGAAAGACTCGATAATATGAAACACCACTTTTGGGTGCAATTTTAGTGCAGATGCAATTTCAATACAGTAATGGGACAGATTTCTAGTTTATCTACAGTCTATGTTTGTTTTTTTTTTTTTCAATCTGCAGTTGAACATTTTGTGCTTGATAACTGTCAGAAAAGTAGATGGGGTAGGTAGATTTGCTGTTTAAAGCATTTTATTTTGTATGAAACTGATTTGGCCAACAGTTTTATCTCTCTGAAACCGCCTAATTTCATACCATGAAAGGAGAAGTTATGCTAAGCATCCAAACCTAACAATTCTTTTAACGGAAGTGGTACGGCTCTGTCAGGAAACGGATCACGTCTTGAAAAAATGAGTAGAAGTGATGAAGATGTGTCACTGATTCGAGACTTACATCTTTGCACTAAAATGTATTTTTTTCGGATAAAATATGACCTATTTGTTTGAAAATGCATTATTTTTTCACTGAAAATTCGTTTATTTTCTCAGTTGCTAGACAGCTACAACTGCTGTTGAAGATAACATTTTCAGAAGTTTAATTGATAAAAATCTCTGTGTCTATAAAGAGAAACAGTAAAAATATTGGTTATGTTACATGCATGCTGATGAGGATAAAGAAAATGGGATGAATAATCCTGAGAGAGAAAAGGAAGCAGTGCTGTCTAAGAACTGAAGCAGAGGCTGATTTCAGTTTCTGATCTGCTCAGATGTTTAAGCTGGAGATGGGGTTTCTAGGTAATACAGAGAACTGACTTTTGGATTCTAGTTCTCAGTCATAGGGAAGCTATTTTCAGATTTATTGTAAGAAATACAGAAGACTGCTGTTCATTCTGTATTATTAAACCTCCAACTAATGCTGACTGCAGAGTAATTAAATTCAAAATCTTTTTCAGAAAATTCTTCTGTGAATTCACACTGTTTTGAAAATTGACTGTAAACTTTAGAGAAGGCGACTTTAAAAAGGAGAAGCTAATCAACATGATCCGAAAGCTAGAGATGAGGAAATTAAAACTTTTAACTCACCATGGAGACCATGAGTACAGCCTGATACTTGCAGAAGCCATGCATCTGCTCTCCACCCCCTAAAGAAGGAAGCAAAACCATGAGAAAAAAAAAAAAAAGAGAAAAAGATTAACTGCCAGAGTTTAAAGGTATGCCTTGTAGGGATCCTACAGAAAAGAAGCTAAAATGAGAAGGTGAAAGTCAAATTGTGAAAGGCAAAATGAAAACTTTAACTTTCTATTGCTGATAAGTTTAAAGATACTGCATTAGTTAAATTGCCAGAGAATGGGGGAAAAAAAAACAAACAGTATTAAATTGGTCAATATTGCAGAGATTCCTTTATTCCATTTTCCTATTTTCCTTTACCGCAGAGAAGGTTATTCAGTTATTGATTTTAAAATTATTCCTTTAAAGACTGAAAACATGAGAGGTTCTGAAGAACTAGAATATCAGAAGGGTGGATCTTAAAACAGGTGGATAAATTAAAAGCAATATATTTCCAAATCAAATGGTATACTGCCAGGAATTTTCAAGGAACTTGGAATAAAATTGTTGACCTCCTCAGAAAAAATATGAACACTCCTATTAATTGCAAATATTATACCAGATGACTGGAGGACACCTTAATGCAGTATTATATAATACATAAACTCTAATACTGTTTCACGTAAGTAGCATTATGACTAAAATTCCCCCAAACCTCTTTAAAAATCCCAGGAAGTGTTTTGAAAAGGGTTTGAAAGATTAGCTTTTAACAACCAAAATTTAAAATGGATAATAAAAACTGTAGTTAAACATGATACCATGAACACACCAGAGATAAAATATTACAACAAAATAAATCAGGCAATGAGAAACAGATAACTGAATTATATTTTTTCAGTATATATATTTTTTAAAATTGAGGTTATTAACAGAAGTTGAATAACGGACACTAACACTGTAAATTTTATGACTTAGAATCAGAACTAATACCTAACTGCAATTCCTGATCTATAGGATACATATTAAAGTGATTCTAGCTCAGCATTGCTGTTTCCAGCAGTAGCTAATAGTCATTGTGTAATTTGATGACATGCAGTGTCAAGGAACTTCTACAGTTTAACTATGTTTTATTGTGAATAAAGGCCTGTATTTATTTCCTTTGTCATTGCAGTTTGCTAGTTTCATGTGATGAGCCATAACTAGCTGAAAAGAAGATACAGTGAAGAATTATTATTGTTTCTCTCTTCCATGCTATGCAGTCTTTTCTATTGAGTCTGGCAAACTTGTACTTCTGTTGAGTCATATTAAGTCCCACCCAGAAAGTGGAAGCACTAATCCCCCCTACTCAAAATGTTCAGTGAGGTATCTACTATAAGCATAGCACATACATCAGGCACTCGGAGAACTTTGAGCTTTCAGGAGTCCGTGCAGGGTTTCATTTCTCCGTCTTCCTTAGGTAAAGGGCTTATAAGGGAAACCAAGGCTATTCACATGTCGGAGTCATTGGTTTCAGTACGCCCCTATCTTTTCATGGATCTGTTTCCTGATATGAAGTGCTCATTTTGACAGTCATTTGAGAGGATATCAGAACCCCTGTTTGCCAGAAAGCGTTTTATACTCCTTTTGTAATTTCCTCAAGATTTGCATTTTCTCACCAGTGTTAACCTTCCATGCACAGAAATGCCCCTTAAGGCAATTTTCCTCTGGCAGCCACTGAGTAATTTTGGCTAGGAATGAAGTTTGGCATCCCTCTCCCTAAACATGTCACATTCAAAGCCATTTTTTCTGTTGTTGTGACTGCCTGTTAATGTATTGTTATGCATAGTTTATGGAACAGTGCAGCAGTGAATATTGTTTGATATCGTAAATAACAATTAACTCTGAGTTACTTCCACTGCCACCACCTCCAGCGTTTTGTGGGATTTAATGAAGATTTAAATCTTCATATCACCTAATATCAGGTGTCTGGCTTCACAGGAACACTGACAGGCATTCTCATTCATCCAGATTTTGCTAGAGCAGATCCACCACGTCATTGTAGAAAAAGTGACCTGTTTCTCTTTGGATTCAGGGTTGCCTTCCTAGTATTGAGTGATGGCCTCCCTGGTGGGATGCAGGGGATGTTCACACTGCAATATGTGAGGTCAGATGGGGTGAACCCTGTAGATTCTTGCAATTCCTTGCAGTGAGCAGTGAGACTAGCCTGTCCTTTAAACTAGTCACTCTTTGCCCACAGTAGTGTACATCTGCATCATGGCTTTATGAAGCCTTTTGAAACTTTGGGGTTTCTCTAATAGTAAGTTGTTGTTAGATGCTTTATATTATTTTCTCCAAGTCTTTAGCCCATACATCAGTAAAACAGTTTCCCCATGTGACAGTATTTCTTTTTAGAATGCTCTTTAATTGAGACTAGTTTACAAGCTTGAACTGCTTTTCAGTTTACGCGTTAGACAAAATAACTACTTTTGGATAGCAAGTACTAAGGCAGTTTTATAAATAATTTTAGGTTGGATATAAACGTGTGATGTTCACTGCAATCCTGGAGCTCTGTCCTTTGACTGATTATAGGCAGGAGCTTAAGGGGAGCTCTGCGAAAATCATGAGGCCTTCCATACTTTTGCCAGGCAGAGAATTAGTATTAAACCCAGCCTTATCACCCGCTCTGCTGCAGGAGCAGCCACGTTCACTGTATTCAGTCACGGACTCAGCGCTGCAGGTCGTGCTGTGCTTCTGCACATCAGCTCTGCTCTCAGCACCGTCCCTTGTAACGCGTCTGTTCAGAGCGCATCCACACAGACACACGGGTTTAGGCTTTGGGTTCAATCTACTTGGGGTGTTTGCATTGGTTTTAGAAGCTTTATTCCTGTTGAGCCTCTCAAAGTAATGAATATAAAAATCATACTATCCTATTAAAATAGAGCACTGTTTACAAATAACCCAAAATAATAACCCCTCCAAAATTTCTCTCTCACGTGCTTTGATGAAAGTTCCTAGAACACACCTGAGAAAAATCAGGCTTCTGTGCTGAGGCTGAAAATTACTCTGATACTGGCTGACCATGAAAAATACTTATTAGGAACAAAGCAGGCCATCTGTGAGCATGGTGCCCTCTCTATTCTTGTTCAAGGCAGACATTTGAGATGTGTGACTCCTGCACAATTCATGAACCCAAGGTCACACAATTTGGATGCATTTCATTTTTGTAGATATTCTTAGCTATTTTTAATGTACATAGATTACATCCTAAACAATGCCTGCTTTATAGGCTTTCTTTTGCATGCTTTCTTTTGTACACTTGGTAACCATAGAAAAGTCACATACAGATCATTCTATCCTTTGAACTATAAAATATTCATGTTTGGACAGTCTTATATTCTGTTAAATTTATGCAGTCTTGAAATAACTGTTTAACTGAGAACGGTTTGCCTGGTTTGCTCAACCGAGTAGTGCATAGACACACAAACACACACACACGTATATATGTATACACACACACATACTTTTTGGCCTTGAGTTTGAAACCAAGTACTGGTTTTAATAGTTTCCTTCAAAAGGAGTGGAAAATATTGTGTAATATTTTCCAGACTGAAGCTGGATCTACTCAGAATAGTTAGTTTTTAAACTTTCCAGTAAATGAAGAGAGAAGAAAAAAAAAAGGCACATTTATTGTTGGGTTAGGAGGACACAGATTTGTGAATTCTTATGTGTGATTTCACATTCTTTATCGTGCCTTCTGGTAAATGTATTTTTTTATGTCAACTCTCGCTTCTTTCCAGTCTTACATTTTTATGCTCAAGTGAACTTCTCCTATTTTTAAGTATTCTTCCACAGACAGTGACCATATATCTCATATATTTGCAGTTTCAAGTGCTTGTTAGATTCAGAATTAGCCTCATATATACCAAAACATCTATGTCAAAGTCTTCTAGTATATAAAACCAATAGTAAAAGAACAGAGAAGAGATTTCTGTTAAGGAAAATAGGGAAACCTACTCTGTGAGTAGAGAGTGGGCCTTTAAAGTCATTAGTTAACATCGTCTTTTCAAATGTTTTGGAACAAACAAATTAGGTTTTTGTTTTGTTTTAACCAGAAGTCCTCTCTTACTGTTCCCTCAGCCTGACTGGATATCACATGAGCTTCTAGTAAGTCGTGTCTGTTCATTTTCAACTGATTGAAATCCTCTCTCTCTTTCTGTAGTGAGAAACACCACCAGTCTATATTCCAGTGATGATACTCCTTTTTTTTTGTATTATGAAAAACACTCTTTGATAAAAATAGCCTGTACTTTATGCATTTTTTCTTTGTATTTATTTTCAAACAGTTGGGCACCCTACCTTTTTACTGATTCATATCTTTCTATCCAGAAATACCAGTCCTAAAGATTTGATCCATTTTCAAAAGTCTAAGTGACCCAAAAGAGGGTCTTATTATTAATTGTATTAAAACAGAAGCTAGCTAAGAAGGCCCAGCTTTAAACTAAATTCTCTCCTCACTTACCTCTCCCCACCCATTTTCTTAATCCTCTGGAGACAGAAACTGTAGGTTTTCACAGTTCATTTTTTGCAAATGTAAATGCTCTATTTATTTTGAATTATACTTTTAAGCTTGGAGCCCATTAGTGCTGATGAATGTTCATTTCTCTTGTCTTTTCTTAATGCTTAACTGTATGGCCCTAGTTTGGGACAAAATTGTGCCTGTAATAGCTTCTTCAGTGTATTCAGAGCACTGGTTTAAGACACTCATCTCAAACGTGTATGTGTTTATGACTAAAGGAGTATCTGTGTTTGTAGATTCCACTTTAATTTAAATGCAGTTAAATTAGCTTTAAGTAGGTTAGCTTTTGGAACTGGAATATAACAGATCATGTAAAATACTTGGCTTTTATCAACACAGTTTCCCAACTAAATTTATTCTGGAGCTAGCAACTGTTACCTATACAGTATGCTGCAAACTACTGTTAGATAGGATGAAATCCACTGCTTGCCTGTCAGTTGTAAAAAAAAAAAAAGAAATCTCCCTTAGCTCAAGGAGGTCCTGAACCACAAATCATGGTTTTACTAGCCAAGTTTTAAACTCTTCCTTAGATATGCATCATTGGTCACTGTCAAAATCAGTACACTAAGCTTCATGTGGTCTTACCCATCTAAAATTATTTTGCATTGG